GATATACACTATATATGTAATTCTCTTCTTCTTGTCAAAAGTCCACTTAGGCCTATTTAATTACTTTAGAATTTCAGTTGACAAGCCGAACTATCTTCTCTATTACTATTGCACTAGTATTCTGTGTATGATTCACTTACAATTGTGGCGTGAGTTACCGTAGTTGTTTGGTCTTCTTTCTTCTGAAGATCTTCTGTTTCTTTTGTCAATGTGCACTCAGGCTGATTCAATTACTTTTGATGGAATAAATTATTATTCTTATCTGCTTTTCTACTGTTAGTCTTACTCTAACATATTAAACATTAGGCCTATCACTTCTACGTCAGTTAACTTCATGCTGAACTATTCCTTTTGTAACTTTACTTTCTTCTGCTATTATCTGTCTGCTGTTTCTGCTTGTCTTACACTACTTATATGTCTATCACTTAATCGTCTCTCTTTCTTCTATCTTCTCGACGTCAATATATTGCATGTGACGTTTGATAGTCTCATCATCAATGACTTGTAAAAGAACTTCCTACATTCGTCTGCCTTTAACTCTTATTATAATAAAAACTAAACAATAATAAAATATTCATTCACAAAAATAAATTAATCAATAATATCTAAACTAAACAGTCTTTTATATCATGACTGTCTTTTTCAGTAATTTTGAAATTTTATGTGAATTGGATATGTGATTGAGTAAGGAAGCATATTACACTAATATAATATATGTAGGCAAAGAATGATTTATAAGCATAAAGCACATAAGGAAAAATTTTATTGATGGTGGAACAGACTATGAACATAGCACAAGCTAACAGTCAATTTTCCTTGAACAATGAGACTGTGTCTTTTCAGTAATTTGATTTCAATTTGATATGTTTTGTAATGCTAAGAGTTTAGTGGATAATATCTTTAAATGTCAGCAGTGTGATAGCTTTATTCCCAGTGGTTAAAACAGTGGATAATATTTTTATATATCAGGAGTGTGATAGCTTGATTTTCATTGGTTAAAACATCAGTTAATACTCCATATAATCAGTTGTATTGTAAGTTTTTGTACTTTGTTTGTTTTAGAGCAAAGCTACATTGGATTATCTGTTGTGTCCTCTGCTGGGGTCTAACTCCAGATTTTAACATTTTAAGTCTGTAAACTTCCCCCTGTACCAATGAGGGACAATTATTTCTTGTTCTTTTTTGTCATAGGAATCAGAATTGGGAATATTGTAGCAGTTATATAATTTTTTTTTTTCTACACCTTATGGAAGATAATGTTATATCTGTCTAAAAAATATCTTTCTTTATTACTTGCTTCAGGAAACAGATTGCTGTACATTTATTTAAGAAATATATTCTATTTACAGGCTTCAGAAAAAAATACTTTTGTAAAATGTTGAGAGCTATGCATTCTTTTTCAGGCTTCAGGAAAGAGGCTATTGTATCTATTAGATATCTATATGTTTTTGTCAAGTGATCTTGACTTAAATTCAGATGTTCTTTCTTGGCCAGCTAAAGTGGAACCATTGTTCAATTCAATTTTACGAGTAAGTTTCCTGTTTTTTGAGAAATAATATAAAATAATGTATAACATAAATGATGATCATAGACTTGTAGGCCAAATTGTTGACTGAATCATTTAAATGTCTGTATGTCAGTATAAGTTATCACATAATGCTTGTTCTTCTTTTTCACATATACATTTCTAGTTATTTTTGGTACTTGAAATGTATAAATGTGTTTTAAGTAGTGTATCAGCTACTCATTGAATAAACAAGGGGTATGAGATATATTTTCTTTAGTAAAGTAGTTCCAAACTTTCTCACTTCACATAAATTGATTAAGTTAATGAATTCTTTATCAATGAAACAAGGTAGGGCATAAAATTTTAGATCAATGATGAAACAAAATGCTGAAAATCTACCCTGAGCCTAGATTTCTGAGTCACGGCAGTATTTTAAAACAGGTGCTCTTCCAATTGAACTATCAAGACAGACAACTGTCTATCTAGGTTATTACATATTCATATAACTAATTTCAAAGTCTCAAACACCCTCCACCACCTTTGTTGGTATAACTGATCATTAGTTTAATCCAATACTACATATATATATATGTCTCATTGCAAGTCAGTATTTCTATGTTACAATCCATAGGGCAACTTGTTAGTCACTTAATATTTATCTTCTATACTTCATTATGTTTCTCATTTTCACAGCAAACATCTGAAACCTTGAATCTAAGTTTCGAATGGACAGCAACTGCCTGTTGTAGAAACCTACAAATGAAGAGGGCGACGTTTTTCGAAAGTCTTCCACCTTTCGTCTTCAGGTCTGAAGATGAATGGCGGAAGAGTTTCGAAACGTTGCCCTCTTCATTTGTAGGTTTCTACAACAGGCAGTTGCTGTCCATTCGAAACTTAGATTCAAGGTTTCAGATGTTTGCTGTGAAAATGAG